AACACTTCTACCTTCAGCCATCCTTGGATTCATGATGTTTACAGACTGGTGACGCCTAACTGAATGAGAGGTGTCTCTGGGGACTCTAAACATTAAAATCTAAACATTTAAGCTTCGAGGTACAGAAGTACCTTTCAGTCCCCGTCATGCCATCGGTCCATGAGTGCCAGAGAGGAAACGTAGCGATTTCACACATGAAGGTGAGTTTCTCGGGGGAGCAGAAGGAACCTAGAGATTTAGTTCATGGGGATTGAGTATGGGTTCGAGTGTGATTTCATCTTATTAGTGATGAATGTACGAGATGGGTAGCAAAATAAAATTGTGGTTCCTTGATAACTAATGTACAAGAGGCAGAATCCATTGAAAAACATAGCAGTGGTATATCTTAGCTCTTCGTACATGTTTGAAATGGTCTCCCACATTTTAAGCAACAAATATCAAATGTGGTGGTGAACAGCTCTATCCAAAAAGGTAAACTTTTTTTGAATAAACCCCCGAAGCACATGTTTTCTGCTGATTAAAAAGAAATTCGAGTGCCATGCATAGTCTCTGAAGATCAGATGAAATAGTTGGCTGACTCCTCCTCTTGCGGGTTAACACCTGTGAGTGTACTAGCTCGCCAGTAAGTGTGTAATATAATAGAAAATGCAGAGCACATTCAAAGGAGACTCACTTCGAGGCAATGACATTTTTGATATCTCGATATTCCGACGAATTTCATTTCTTATGGGGGTGATGACTGGCTTAATTGACACATACATAGATCAGGAAACAATACTCTTCTCTCATCAAAGTGCACCGTCAATTTAACTCCTCAAAAGTCGTCCGATCTCAATTCTTCTGATGATCAAAAATCCCATTGTGAATCCCAAAATGCTCGAACCAAAAAGATGCAGTTCGAGCTATTTGGGATTCACAATGGGATTGTTTCGTGATTTTGAAATACGGTACTTACTTGTTCACTCTCTTTATCCAGCAGCTCAATCGCTTTCAATTTACATACGTCTCTGCCAGTGTCGTATTATTATTTTTATTATTATTATTTAGTTTTTTTTTTTTTTGGGGGGCAGGGGGCGGCGGCGCTCCCTGGCAGCCCGCAAATGTACCTAGAGTCCCCCTGAAGGAAGTCTTTCTCCCCCGAGAACCCTTTGCTCAAGACCCCCCCCTCCTCCTCCTCCGCCACCCTCACAAGCTGTCTAATGGACAAATTTAAGTTATTTCTCTCTGCATATATATGAAATGACAAGACAACCAATTTTCCTTTCTTTTCAGGCCTGAGGAAACCAATTGAGAGGACAGAGCATCAAAATGAGGGGCATTCTATGTCTCCTAGTATTATCGTTTGCCGCAGTTAGCAAGTACAGTTTCGGTGAAGTAAGTGAAATTTGTATTGAGTCAAAAACTTTATTTGGACCGTTATGAGCACCTCAAAGCACCCGAGAGCCGCATTCATCTTTAAGAAAAGCACAGAAAAGAGGGAGCACGCGGAATTCAGGTGGTAATAATAACGGTCCAAAAAAACTTAGTAGTGAAGAAGACGGATCGTATCCAGTAGCGTTTTTTAAAATCGTACTTTCAACACTCGCTGTTCCGTTTCTAGTAGTTCGACTTCGTAGTGGAGACCTTTTCTAGCAAAGGTATTTTTGCGGCAATCGCTGAATTTCAGAGAAAAATAAGACATTTCTTGCTTTTCCATACTCGGGGTGAATCAAAAGTCCTTTATCATAGCCCTTACAGGTCGTAAATGTTCGAACTACATTGAATATTTGAGGAACCTACTTACGAGACATTATTATATTGTTATTATTATTATGACAATGACAATATGAGTATACCTAGTATATTTTTTAAAGGACATGGACCAGTCTTCCTGAGGGTGTTCTTGCCGGTGGGGCGACCTCTGCATCAATTCCTTTTGTCCTCAAAAGGGGTAAAACGAGCATTTTTAAGATATTAAGTCCAATTTTCCCTATGTGGGGTCCAAAGACACAACTTGAAACTGATCTTAACATCGAGGCCATTAGGAAGGCCGAAAGAAAGGTGTCTTTCAATCACTGAAGATGAAGTTGTCTCCACACTACACATGGGAATATAAACCTCCCAATTGAACTTTCTTTTGTCAAATGTGGCATGCCATTACGAAAGTCCTGCATCCACCTGGGCTGAAAGCAAGGTGGAAAGGAGGAGGATTCGGAACCAGTGCGGTATCCCTCCTGGTTGCTATACACCTGGTCATTCGCCCGCGTGTACTTCAAAGAAGATGGATGTTTCTCCCTGGGTAGATTTTCAACCAGGTGGACATCTTTCCACCTGTTGTTTTTTGGCAGAGGGTGGATATTTTGTAAGGGTTACACATGCGATGATGGCTGCTCCTCGTAGCGTCGAGATCAGTGCTGCCCAACCTTTTCGGCTCGGGGGCCACATACTCCCACAGCCATCGCGGGCCTTATGCAGTCACGAGTATTGTAGGAGACTACATTTAGGAAACCTGAGGATATTTTTGTGGGTCAGGGCCTCGCAGCCACGGGTTGGGCACCACTTATCTAGATATTTAGGCAAAAATCCTGGTCCGGAATAGAAGCGAGATCTCATGAGCAGGACGGTCATATCATTTCGATTCATGACGTCATGTAACTATATCATTTCATTTCATTCAGCTCTTACGCTCAACCGTAGCAGGCTTACAAAAGTATACTTTTCTCCAACGATATTCGGCAAGAGCCTTATCAAATTCGGCCTATGTCACGTCAATGTCAGTAGCGCCCTTCCCGTCACTCCTCCTTCCCATTCAATTTTGGCGTATTTTCGATTTCGGCAGCACCAGAGTATCTCCCACTTCTGGTGACTGAGCACGGTAGGCAGAGAAGCATGAATAAAGTGAATGCTCTCCTATTGCGAGTTGGTTTTCGGGACGAGAGCACGTCTTCTATGAATCACATGTTCTGGCTTTTATCGACATCGATGCCCAAAATATTCAGCCTTCCACGAAGGGCTGCGAGGAAAATTGGTCTGCCAGAAAAATATATCGGTTTTCAAGACTCGGAAGGAAAACGTGGTCTCTGTACATTCACTGAATTTTCCGTTGTCGGAATTATTTGCACCCAGATTAGTTCTCCTTTCAGTTCCCAAACCTTTGTATGGCCAATATGAATATGGATATAAAAATAATTATAAACGCCAGTATAAACTGGAGTGGACAGCTATGATTTTGGTTCTGATGATGGTTTTTCAGCCACGGTACATATGCCATGAAACTTGAGGTGTATGCAATCCACTCCAGGGCATATCATCTATTCAGTGTTGCCTCCCAACGGTGGAACATGCGACTACTACGCAGAGTAGTCCTCCTAAAAACATTAAACAAAAAAGTATATTTTTGCTTTGCTTTAAGAATTCATGCAAAGAGTTAAATAACTTCCGTAACGTCGTCAATGACTCATTTCTGCTCGGTGGTAATCACATTCCTGTACATATGGCGAGGGCGCTGCACGTTTTAGCGAGCTGACTTCGACGTTGTCTTGCTCCGACTGCGCTCGAAGTCAAACGCGGCCTATTCTCAATTGAGAGTCGAACGCAACGATTTCCAAGGGAAGGACATCCGCATGTTTCCTTCACTCTAAAGGAAAATCCCAAGTATTCATAGTAACAGTGCTATGCCACGACTCCATTGAGAGGGACTGTCGAAATCGAAAAGATCTCTGCCTAAATTGAAAGTACTGCTGCAAAAAAATTTGAAATCGTGCAAGAGGATATTACCTGCTAAAATTGAAACAAACAACCCAAAATTTGGCTGGACCCCTGCTGAATACCGTCCGGAAAGCCTGTCAACATCTCAAGCTGATAATTTTACTCGGGGTACCGCTGCTGGCTAACGCACGGGTACGGTCTCGAGATACCGGCATCAGGTTCGAACTACGCCGAAGCGAGATTAGTTCTTAAGAGGCCAAATATTCGTCACTGCGTAGTTGAGAATTTTGTGAAGAGAGTCGTGGGTACGCCTTTTTTTTTACCGATCCATAATCCTTCTGCCCAAGTTGGATTAAAGTGCTCTACTAAGATTAAAGGCCACGAGACAAATAAATGCTGTCGATTTCAAACTCTCGCACAGCATGGATTGGATTGATTTTATACTCCGTACTACTTATTTTCCTTCCTTTAAGGAAAAAATTTAATCCTTTACTCTTATGCAGTCCTTTAGTATGCGTACTTATATATTCACGGTCCTTCTAGACAGAAGGGTCTGTCCACGGTGTCGGACGTAATATCCAGAGTAATATGTTTAGTATACAAAATGAATTTAACTATATTGTGGATGAAAAATCAGCATATAAAGCCTGCAATAATTTGCTTTGGGCAGTGACTGAAAATTCCATAATCCAAAGTTTTGCACTCTCTTTTGTTAGAGGTACAAAGAAAAGTGTCAGACTTGATATTGTGAACCCTCAAGTTAAAGTCCCTTGCTCTAATGTTCGCATGTCTGTCATCGAGCGGACCCTAATAATTTAGTTTCATGTTTATTCTAAAGTTTGAATGAAAGTCTGGAATTGGTGTAAGTCACCCCAAGATTACAACATTTGAAACAGAAAGTAAGCCAATTTTGTGACGGTATCGGATGTGACAAGTTCTGAAAATGTATTTTGAAACGGAAGTCTGTACATATCTTTTACTTTTATTTTTAAAATATCATTCAAATGTGAACAACTGACATCTACCCTATACACCTGAGCTGACTTGAAATTATCAGTATGCATGGAAGGCCCATCTGTTCCAGTAGTCCAATAAAGTCTCCCCAGATTTGCCTTTTGATCCCATTCTTGAGTATCATGAGTGTGGTATGAATAATATATCACATTCATGACTAATTCTTGCATTTTCAATGTAATATTCTCTTTCATTCATGTATTCTGGTAAAAGAGATGATGAACTTCTATTGCAAAAGTAATATTTGCATATTTAGGAAAATTTCCGGCAAAAATCCGATGACCATTTGGCGTGGGCAGACCCAGAAGTAACCAATGACAAATATGGACTGGAAAGTGGTCACTTGAAGTTTGAGAACACAGTATTTGCTCTGGTAACAAAAACTAAAGAGCTCTCGAAGGACATCACTCGATTGAAGGTTGACAACGCACACTTCTGGAATGACAACGAAATTCTAAGGAATCAGTATGAAAAACTGAAGCAAGAAAATGAGAACCTCAGGCAGGGCCACAAGAACCTGAAGGATCAAAACGACAACCTCAGGCAAGACCATGAAAATCTCAAGCACGAGTGCGAAAATCTCAAGCACGAGTGCGAAAACCTCAAGCGCGACAGCGTAAGCCTCAAGCAAGACAATGAAATCTTCGAATCTCAGCTACGGGAATATCAACGTGTGAGAGACGAGGAGACAAAGCTTCAGCAGAACAACGTAGAGGGAAGACTCCTATATCTGGAGGCTATCGCATTGCAAATTGGTGAGTTCCAGATTCGTGTCTGCGATTGGATTTCTGCAATCATATCCGTTACATTTGAAACATTACATACGATATGTAATACTTGTGTCCCAGCGCCACAAACGTGCCAAACTCTGGCAGACCTCGGGGTGACGAAGGCAGGAAACTACTTCGTGGATCCAGACGGAATTCTTGTCGGCGATCCACCGATCCAAGTATTCTGTGACATGGAAACAGGTCCGTGAGGGCTAAAGTAAAATAACCGTTCAAGTGAGGCTAGGATGAGAGATTTCTGTGATCCTGTTATCCTTTGAAATGAACAGTCAATTTTTTTTTATTATTTGAAGATCCTGTATCCACAATTGTTCAGCATGATGCAATGAAGACAGATGCGGAGATCGACAATTGCGCTGATCCAGGCTGCTTCAGTCGAAACATCAAATACAACGCGTCGCTGAAGCAAATGGTGGCATTGATCGATCAATCGCAATCATGCAACCAACGAATAAAAGTGAGTGAAATCAATCTCCGCAATTCGTTGATACTGTAAAAAGAAATTATCATCGAATTCAGCTGTTTTCATTCACAATCTCCACGAATATACAGTCAATGCTCGATATAACGTATTTTTACTATTCTTTTTTTCCTGTCCAGGCCTTTTGCTCATTTACATGCGTGCATAAATTTTTTCTTTGTGACGAGGTTCTGTGTAACAAATTGTTCGGTTTTACAAGAATTTTTTCTTTCGAAGGAAAAAAACTTTCCTGTATTACGAAGTTCAAATCTGCTGAACAGGTCCTTTCATGCTTCCTCGGATATTTTAATTTCATATATAAATTTAGTACGTTCCACCCACTTTTAGGTATGGCCGTGGAGATTTAGGAAGTTTTGTCAGTCAGTCATAATATTCTCGGTATTTTAAAGATGAGTCAGGCCGAGTCCGCAATTCTGCTCGATCGAGCATTCCAAGCCTTCCCATCGAATTTAAAAATTATGTAAGCGGAAACCAGCATAGCACTATCAATTCGGATTAAATACCACTGTTTCCGTTTTTGTTTTCAGTACGACTGCCTTTCGGCACCCCTGAGATCTGGAGACATACAGCATGCATGGTGGGTTGACCGCCACGGCAAGTCACACTATTATTGGGATGGATCAAACGCAACAGAGCACGTCTGCAAATGCGGACTCTCAAACTCCTGCGTTGACACCAACCTACCTTGCAACTGCGATGCAGGTGCTCCCGGACGGGGATCCGACTCGGGAGAGATCACCAACGCAACAGCATTGCCCATCACTCAGCTCCGATTTGGAGGACTAAAGTTTCAGAATCAAAAAGCGAATTACACTCTGGGCGGATTGATCTGCAAGGGCAAACCTTCTCCTGGCAAAAGTGCCAAAGGTAAAGCTCCACAGCCGCAACAACCATCAGGATCCTGTTCATCTCTGCGCCAAAGTGGAAACGGTTATACGGGATATCATTTGATCAGGAGGAAAGAAGGGCGATTAGATGTAGTCTTCTGCAGAATGGATTTGGAAGAGACCGACCCTGAGTTTCAGATTGAGACAGATGCCCGTATCGCCGAGAAAGCAGTTTACTTTGATGCATTTGGTAAATCATCAAGAGTCGGTGAAACCACTGGCCCAATTTCATTCGAAGGGACAGAAGTAAACATGGGGAATGCAATGGAACCGAAAGGCGGGGTTTTCACGGTACCTCTGGATGGGATTTATGCATTCCATTTTCATTACTATGCTCAAAACTATACAGCCGCGATAAATCTGAGACTAAATGGGGATGCTCGAGGACATTTGCGATCTTCAGGAAACGACCACAAGATTCCTGGACAGTCCATTCTTCTTCACCTGAAGAGAGGCGACAAAGTGGATGCGTACTTAGCATTAGGAACAATACATACTGACCCGCATCGTTATGTACACTTTGTTGGGTATTTGTTGTATCCCATGTAAAATGAGAAATATAAAAATAACGCAGGTTTTCTTTGCATTCTTTGCTTTGTTTTGTTGGCCTTATTTGTCAAGTTTTGGTTCATTCATTTGAGGACGATGAATGATTTCCTCGTATTAAACGATGAGTTAATCTTAAGGACTTTGAAATGTAGGAATATCAAGTAGGACAAAAGTTTTCCGAAAATGAAGGGCACTTCACTTTAGGGGGTTGGTTCTTCTCAAAGACTGATCTTAGGCGGAAATGATCTAAAAATGTCACATCCTCGCTGCTCATCTACTCATCTGCTCCTCGCAAAAGGCACAGTTGAGCACGTTTCAGAAGTGGACCGAATGCGAGCAAGACCGACCCTCTCCCCCCCGCCCCCTCCCTTCCACCAAAGGTTTACTGCAATTGAAAATTTTTTACAAAAAGTCAAGAACTCAAACCAGTTTCTCATCTGATTGAGTGAGACTTGTTCCTTGTCCTCTTACATTCTATCACATTTCGTCTTCAGTATATTTTTCTTCAGTATAGTACGCGCACCGGCCAGGAGCGCGTACTACGAAACCTGTTACGTGATGGGTCAGTAGTCGAAAACCTGCGGAATGGCCCGGATTAGAGGTTAGGTGCTGCGAGGGTCCCTTTCCCTCTTCCTCTCTGTCCTGCAAAGCGAAACGTAGTCTCTCGTTGTTCAACCAATCTAAGAGATTTTTATTTTAACTGGATTAACTGTTGTAATGGACATTTGCGTGTCACGATCGAGGCTTCACGCGGTGATACGACTGGACCTGTAGCAGTAGGCCCTTTGGACCCCTCCGCACGAAGACTTCAGAGAGTTTGGCCTATGATATTTTTTTCTGAGACATTTCCTGGTTCGGGAGCTTGCGTTCCGTTTCTAAAAGTCAGGCATCGTTTACATGTTGAAGGCTCTGCTGTGACTATTTTTGCTCATTATCTAGTGTAAAGAATAGAGATTTATGGAAAGAAAACATGTCAAATGAGGCCTAAGTTACTCGGCCCAATTCTGAGTTGACTTAGTAGTCAATCGTGGATAAACACTTACTGAAGCAGGACAACGAGTCTCTCTCATCTCTCCAAGTCCATAGTCTCCACCACAATCTCTAACTTTCGAAAGACGAGCAGGTATTGGGCAGAAATTTTTCGCATTTCTCGACGAGTGTCTTATTATATATTTAACTTGTATACCAATGTGATCCTGCGCAACTTCATTCATGTAGGACAACCCGTAAGGCTCATGCTGGAGGAAGGCCAAGCAGGCTGACAGCAGACCAAGAACAAGCCATTGTGGCGATGGTTCGCAAAAGGAATGCGACTTTCGGAAATTCAATAAATGATCGCTGACGATGAGGAAACCTTCTCAGGTATACAAACACTGAGTACCTCCACAATCGCCAGAATCCTGAGCAAGTATCGGTGCACAGTGAAGCAATTGTACCGTGTGCCATTCCGAAGAAACACGGACGACGCGAAGGAAAAGCGTTTTAAATACGTCCAGGTACACACATTTTTGGAATATTAGATAGCAACCTTTCTTAATCGGAAAGTCCCACCTTTCCCAGTCACCGATAAATTTTGTCATGAAATTATCCAAAACGTCCCTTTTTTCAGCAAATCATGGAGCTTGATTCCTTTGCCTCAGGAAACGTCCAATATGTGTTTTTTGACGAGGCCGGATTCAATCTGAATAAGAAACGGAGACGTGGTAGGAACATCATAGGAGAGAGGGCTTACCGTGGAAACGCCAGCAGAGCGGGGTGGAAACATAACCATATGTGCAGCTATATCTGAGGATGGTTTCTTGTATCATGAAAAAGTTTTGGAGGCTTTCAATTCCAAGAGGCTTCTGGTCTTCCTTGATCATGCGTACAAGGCTTCAAGGAGATCCTGATGTGGTGGAAAATAAGTACCATTGAGTAAAATAAGAAAACTGTTCGAAGGCTCTCTTTCCGCTTCTATTCCTTCCTCCTAAAGAGATTTTGTAACAGTAATGCATTTTGAGAATAATAATCCCCTTCAGAATAATTATTTAGTGCGGTCGCTTATTGGCAGTCCATAGACATTCTTAACCCCGTACGTTATAAAATTGAAGGGCGTACTTTCATTTTGATAGAGGGATGGTCTTTTGACTGACGGACGCATAGATATGAGAAAAGAGCGCAGAGTTCTGCGGATCGAACGTTAAGTTTTGAAAAATGTCCATCAAGATATGAAAACGGGCTTTAGCAATTGGAAAAAACTAATAGCATTTGAAGGAAAAATACCTGCAAACAGACATCCCAAATTGTACATTTTTCTAAATTAATCTCAAATTGGACAATAGATTCCTCAAAGATGAAGAAACCTTTTGCAAACTCTCATGACTTAAGTTTTGTTGTTTCTCTCCCTAGCTCTGGGAGTAGATAAAAATCTCATGGAGCAAAGTGATGTAGGGTCAGTGTGGTAGTAATTCCAATCGTAAAGTATTTGCAATAGTAAAATATTGTGCATGTTGCTGTGTGAGGCTTGGCATTGTCATGCTGCAGAATGACAACGCTGAGCCTCAAACAGCTGCACACGAGGAAAATCTCACAAGGTGAGCATCTCATTCATCTCACCTGCCCTACAACTTTCGCTTTGACCCTTCTGATTTTTATTAACTCCAAGTCTAATGCCAGTATCTTATGAACTAAATTTATTCATTTGGAGACTCCTTGATGACCCTCCAATATTGTTATTTCCCTGGGAAAGTGCCCTCAGTTTGCTTCTTGAACACATTAGCGAATGCATTAATATTTTGAGAGGGTAGGAGGAGTCTGGGGAATTGAAGGATCATGAGTTTCTCAATCATACCATGAAATCTCATGGATAGAAAATGCATAGCTCTGAGGACAAAACAAGATTCTGCTAGACAATTGACTTTTCTGATTTGAGGGACCTTTGTTTTTATAATTTCACTAAAGCTTTTGACATGCTTCCCTCACAAGTAGTTTTTGGCTGAATTCGAGGTGCATGGGATTCAAGATTTGGCGAGGCTGCAGGATAATGGACTGACTGATGGGAAACAAATAGGAGTATGTTAGTGAAGTTGAGGTTATTGGCAGTATTGGCAGCAGGTCATTCCCCCCTAGACTTAGGAGTCTTTTCCTTCATATTGGTTTTGCTCTTTTTTTATTATTGCCTTCAATTTCCCATATGTTTACATGCATAGACTGTTTGAAGAAAGGGCATGTGGATATAAGAGATGCAAAGTTTATCTTTAACACCATGTATATTTGAATAAAAGTATATGAGACCATCCAACCTCCACAAATTGCTGCCTTGTTTCTCAAGCTCATCATGATGATAGGTCTCCTAATGAATTTAATATCAGTATGCTAGGGAGGGAAAGATAGTGACTAGTTCATCTGAGGTTAAGTTATATCATGCACAGGTGGCTCTAAGTTTAACAGCATTCTAAGCACAATCTGGCATTGCACTGAATTGTCCATAAGAACTTCCACATTATTTTTTGTTTTATATATATTAAATATCATTAATATATGTAGTGAAAAGCATTCACTTCAAGGAACAGTAGGAGTTCTATTTCCATAAGCTTTAAAAGTAAAATAAAATTTAGTAATTTTTCTCATATAGTTAGTGGATGTGTGTGGAATGATGTGTCTGCTCCTTCTACGACTAGCTTTAACCATATTGCTGCAACATTCAACTATTGTTGAACTGTGCCTCACTCATTGCAAAGTTTGACTGTAGTCCACATCCATAATTTTTTTTTCTTCATGCGTTTTTTAAATGTCCTACGAAATTCGACTTCAGTCCCTTCATCATTTGAAACGGCTTTGTGAGAGTTTCCCAATGGATCACATTCCCATTAAAGGAATGAATGGTCTATTGTCCACAATATCACAATATCAGGCTGTACAGGGGCTCAACTAAAAGTTCAGTTGTGTTGTGGACAGGGGGGACATCAAACATAAAAGAAAGCATGAACAAGTACATAGGAATAACTTATAGACCTTTTATCGGTAATTCATTTCTGACATGGAAGACAAGATATAAAACTGTTCAAAGGGAATGGTAAAAGAATACAAAGAGAAGTGGGAGGGTGGTTATGGTGTGTATTGTGCTAATAAGCATTCTTTTCGGTCAGTTTTAAATCTAGGTAGTGTGGGGAGCACTTTAATTGAGATGGGAGTTCCCATGCATGATGCACCTATATTTAAGGCTTTTCTGAGATGTTTTTGTGAGGGCTTGTGGGAAGCATGATTTGATGGAAGTGTGGGAGCGGAGGTAAAGTGTGGTTTTTCCTGGTTGGGAGAGATATGATGAGAGGTAATTAGGAGCAATTGCAGTGGAGATTTTGTATATAAATTGAAAGATGAGGTAGGATGAAAGATCTTCAATGTAGAGTCATTTATTATAAGTGAAAAGGGAGAGAGTGGGATGGTGCCTGGATTTTGAGTAGATAATTCTAAAGCATTGTTTTAAGACATTGTTGATTTTTACAAGTTTTTACCCAAGACGACAAATGAAAATGACTTACTGCCTTTTACCGTCTAAGACCGAGTTTGGTGGTAAGTTAAGGGGGTGTGATTGGAACATAGGAACCGCCCCAACCCACCATAAAAATGTTCTGTATCCGCCACTTGGCTTGTCCATAGCATTACATGCACACACGTCACAAAGTTTCCGAGATGCTGGTAGGGGAATGCTTTCCATGCTAAGTGCATAGAAGTCTCTCCCAAATCATAGTAATCATCATTTATAATAATCCCTAAGTCTCTCTCTACGTTGATTCTTCCAGTTAATCTTCGCCGAAGTCAACCGGAGACCTATCGATACTACGACAGATGTGAAGAACCTTCAGTTCATTTACCACTTACCATCCTTAAACATCTCGACCGTTACACAGAGAATACGTTCTCCAAATTGTCTCCCAATGCGGTCATAATTCGTAAAGGAACGCCAAACTTGACTAAGAATTAAGTTTTAGTTAAGAAATACCAATCTTTTCCCTCCTTCC